TGGAAATCGAAATCTCAACGAGGCAACTTAACTACATTAAGAGTTTCTTACTTGTTAAGTGCAGAGATAAGTACAATAATAATACATGCATTTCGCGAGCATTTTTTTATTTAAATATTTCGTATGCGGAATCTTTTCATATCTATGAATATAAAATTCACTCATTTTTACGCAGAAACAAAAATATACAGAATTCACCAAAAAAACGCATCATCGAAAGTCGATTCTTACACAGAAAGAATAATTTTGTTCAAATATCTAAAAATTTAATTAAATACAGATCTGAAAATAATTTTCTTAATCCATGAATAATTATGTAGAGCGCTCAAACTAGTTGAAATGTCAAAACTTTTGCAGCATTTCTCATCATGCTTGAGATTTCTAAGTAATTATTTTCATGGTCTAATAAATTATTATTTTCAAATCCGTATCTAACCAAATATTTTTAGATACTTCAGTAAAATTGTTCTTTCTATGTAATAATACATCCATTTTTAATTTTACTATGTATTTTGTCTATATTGAACCCTAGAATTTCTTCTTTCCTTTTTCGAAATATCCACGTTTTTTTAGAACATTAAAAACCCGTTATCAAAATATATATAAAATTCAGTGCAACGTTATTTCTGTACTTGCCTCTATCCTGTTCTGTTTCTTGACTGCACTAAATTAAAATAGCGCCGGATAAAGACGATAAAAATGAGTTTCTCATTTTTAAACGCGTTTTTCCTTGTTATATATTCTTTCTTTCATCTAAAACCTTAAATCTTTTTATATACTTCTCTTTTTCGTATTCGCAATTTCCATATTCCCTGCAATTTTATAGAATATAAACCTCGCGAATATGAAGCTTCCACTGTGTAGGTATTTCCTACTTCGCGAACACACGTGAAAGCTTTCCGGAGAAAATGTATTTCGACTGACAGAAAGTCCCTTAGCGGGCATATCGCTACATATCCGTACCTTAATTAGACCAACTGCATGGAAAATATGTTTTACAGTACATTATAAATGTAACAAGGTCGAGATGCAAAGATACATGTGTAACTTTGCATTGTATTGCTGACACGTGATAAAGAACGAAGAAAACGTGTAACATCATATATACTATACATACATTAGAAAGTAATAAATTTAACGCGAAAGTTAAAATTATTTGTCAAAATTATATTAATCCTTCATTATTCTAGAATGTCGAGAACACTTCCCACTTATTCTGTTAAATGTATAAATGCTATTCATATACATTATTCTATTTAGTATAAAGAAGAGTGCAACTTTCACTTTTTTGCGATCATTCTTCATTTTTTTGAGTTCTTCACTTTTCTTCATGAAAATCAAAAATTATCATAATAACTACATTGAAGGAAAAATTGGCATATTGTATTAAAGAATAAATTATTCACATTACGAAATCACTGCAAATTTACAACTTTGTACCTATCCTTAAATGGTGTCACTTATTACCGAAACACTATCATGTCTCCAAATAATTTTTGATTTCTATGAAAACAATATAATATACAAGAAAATGTAGAAATAAAACGATCCCATGGTTACAAAAAGTTGTACCCTTCTTATATTTCACAATTAAAAAAATTTTTGCATTTATCTTTATATATAAAGGATGTATAGAATATTATTAATCTTTATTTAAATCGTAAATCATCAGACAGAACAATGAAAATTGAGATATAATAGAGTGTCAGAAACATTTCGGACGAGTAATCGCGTTTAAAAAAGTAACATAGGAACGTTAAACGTTAAAACTTTCGTTAAAATTCTTAAGAAATTAGACGCATAAGAAAAGTGAAAATGTAATATACGATCGACCATCTTGTCGGAGGATCAGAGGAGAATAAGAACGTGCATGGAGATAGAATAAAACATGGCACGCTTGTTCTTATCTCCAGCTGGTAGCTAATGCAACGAAATAATGAATCAGGGGATTATCTACGCTCGTAGGGCGTGCCACGTGAGGGCTGCGAGTTTTCAGCATTATCATCGTCTCAGATACCCCCTCCCCTTGTGACTGGCACACCTGAATGCCCATCCGATAATTCACTCGATAATTCGAGTATCATTGTCATGGTCTAATCGCGATGCGTATCGTAATGTATTAAAGACGACGCGTGCTCGTCGACGTGGATAACGTGGGGAAATGGAAGAGAATTATGCTCACGACACATTGTCGGGCGTATCACGAACAGCAGATAACATTATCATTTATGAAATTGGAATTAATTAGCAATTTAATCTAATTATATATGCGTAACGTAAATAGGTAAAATTACATATAATATAGAAAATGTACAGGGATTCAAAGAAATAAATTTAAATACAAAAGGTTTAAGCCAATTAGAATAATCACCAAGTGTATAAAAATTCTTTTGTATCATAAATTCTGAGCACACAGTCACCTGGTTCTAATTGGCTTGATCCTCTTGTATTTAAAATTACTTATTTTCAAGATTAATATGTTATTTAAAATTACATATTTTAGGGCGATTATTTCATCTTCATATAATGTGATAATTTATACTTATTCTACTGGATAAACAAAAGAGTAAAAGAATGAAGGCATAAGAAAGTAAGAACGAGCTAAAGTTTATCGAAAGATAAAATAATCTAGCCTTAAAGAGGTAAATTTTATCTATTTACGTTAAGCCATAAATATTTTTATACTGTTGTTAAAAAACACAAGAAAATATACAAAGCCTTAAAATGTCAGAAAAATATACATTCCCTATCAAAAAATATATATCATTCAAACAATATTCATTTTACTGTACGTACAGTACAGTCAAATTATTCTCGTCATATAATATGCAATTTAATTTACATAATAATTTATGTTGTATGCTTTAGACTTGTATTATAAACTTGATACTTGTACATGCGCGCGTGTATCACGCGCGTTTACATAAATATATATAAACTGTATATTCTAGAGCTTTTATACTAATCTCATTTTAACCAAATACGAATTATTCCTGTGTTCGAAAATTAAATCATAAATTTGTGAATTAGTAATTTTGAAAAGTAAATCGAACTGATTTTGTCATTTTAAAGTATAAATGTATAAATGTAATCGAAAATTAATTTATTAAATTCGTAATATTTTTCATTTTAATACTGTATTATTAAAAAATATTGAACGTTTTCTTTCTGCAAAATAACAACTATTGGCTCTTCGTTTCTCTTCGTTCGAGTTTGCTATCTCAACGTCAATTGTCAATATCATTTTCCAATCTAAGACTTCAACTTATACGATATTCATCGATATCTGTATTCTCTTGCGACAGACTACATGTCGGACTACATGTAACGGAGTTTCTCTCCAAAGTAAATTGACTTACCGGTGTGGTGTACGGTTGGCAGGCCAGCCTGATGCCGTCGTGTCTGAGCTTCTCCTGCAGCAGCATCCTCAATTGCATCCTGGGAATTCTCACCAGCTCGGCCTTACCCTCCTCATACTCATCCGCAAACTTTGTCAGCTCCTGACCGCCGCTGGAGGAGCTGGCCGTAGGCGACGCTCGTTGCGCCTCCTTATCGCTGGGTGGTCTGTCGGACGACGTCCTCGACGACTTGGAGCTGATGTTGTCGCAGCTGTTGTCGTTCGTCTCCTCTAACGTGAAGTATACACTCGCAGCGCCTTCCTCGCGTAGAGTCTTCACTGATTGCAGCAGACGCGCGCGATGCTTCTGATTGAAGACGCCGATCGCATCGAGATCCGGATCGCCGATCTGCTTGCAGATCTCAAGGTCATCGTAGCCGTTATCGATAAACGACTCGGAGTACTGGCCGAGGTGGAGCGACCGCAGCCACTCGACCACGATGTTGCTTGCCATGGTCATTTTAATTTCTTTCTCACGTTGTACGCGCGTGGGTCTTGCAATTACGCCCCCGCTCGTTTGTTCCTCTTCAAAACCTTTCTTTCCCTCTGCAGTTGCGTCTTTCCCTGTCGCACCTTCAACGATTTCGTTTCGCGACGAAATCTCGTCTTATTATCCGTTGTACTCGTCAGCGGCTACTACCATCCCGTGAGGTCGCCCTCCAGTCGACGATGTAACGTCCATCGAGGGGAGAATCGTCGAAAGTAGATCGATTCAGCAAGTAAATCAGGCCCTCTTTCTCCTAGCGCGACATTCTCCTCTCACGATCGGCTGCGCTATTAACGAGGGTCGTCTCGCCGGCGACCCTGGAATACGCAGGGCGTCAACCGGGGGAGAGGGAGGTAGGTTGCGGCGGTCACGTTCGCCGCTTGACATGTACCGCTCCTCGGCTCATCATGAGTTACACGGGTGACAGACTCGAGATCGCTCCTCTTCTCTCTTCTTCTCTTTTCTCTCTCTCTCTCTCTCTCTCTCTCTCTCTCTCTCTCTCTCTCTGTCTCCCTCCCTTTCTCTCTTTGTTGTCTCGTCGATGTGCCCGAAGTGCTTCCCTCCGTTCGTTTCCGAGTGCGGATTCTAGCGGATAGACGCAAAGACGGAACAGCACTGCGAAGAGCCGGAGGGTGAAGCGTCGAATCTCGTTCTACTTCGCGTGGCGCGAGAAACATAGGCGGGGAAAGATTCGAGGGGGGGGGGGAGGAGAGAAATTTAGAGGGATCACACACGCGATAGACAGTTCTTTCCGTACGTACGACAGCAGCTCTGAGTCTCGATAAATCCCGTCGTGCTCCGCACCTTATGCGACGCGGCTCGTGGAAATTAATCCAACACGTTGCCGCTCAATGACGCGGTTTATTTCTATTCTCTCGTTTCCCGTTAGGCAGATTCTCTTCCCCAAATTTATTGCTTTCGCAATACTCAGGCATCAGTTAAACCAAAGTTACACCATCGCGAAAGATTATCAACTGATTCGCCTCACTGGAATTACATGATCAGTGATCGATGGAGAAACGAGAGCTTCTTCTTTTTGTGTTCTTTTTCTCAGAATAGATGTCCAATCCACAAATAGAATCACGATATGACTTGAAAACGAACCAAAAAGAGTGACTTGCTTCCTCGGAGAAAATAGGAGGCTCCAACGCAATGCACTATTTCATAATATTTATCGTCTTCTTTTGTTATGGCACCTGCTCTCAAGAGAAGTCAATACGGTCAGAAATTCGCGAATAAACAGAAGAAGCGTTACGATACAAAACTGAAATACATAGCTCAGTTTAATTCAAGACGTTCACGAATCACTCGTGTCAAGATTGTAGCTTGATGTCAGTACTTATCGTGACAAAGTAAAACAAACCGCCAACTTCGGAGATTCACGGAGTCCGACGGGAACAAATCCGGGCGATAACCGTTGACAAAGATTCGCGAAAGATCCCGCGAGCGAATCCCGTGTAAGAATCCTGCCGTCAAATATCCGACGTACCCCGTCGATGGAAGACGATCGTAGATCAGCGCGAGATCGACGTCGAGATCTCGATAAAGACGGACGACACGACGAGTCCCTTCCGTTAAAAGCAACGAGACTTGGCAACGTCGGCGATGCGACCCTCCGTCGCTTCGCTTTCTATCGCAACGGTTTTGAAACTCGCGCCACCGTCACTTAGGGCTTCGTTCACGTGATAGAACGATGAGCTGTCCGCCTCGGTTACTCGTTTCCGATAAACGTTACGTACACAAAACGGACAACAAAATAAAATGAAAGTCGGACACGTTCGCCTATTGACGACGCGACGAACTGTCGGCGTGCTTCGCCGGTACAGTTTCTTCGAGAATTGCGGCTTCTTCCTTCGGTAGAACTTGGAGCAGTCACTCGCGACGGTCACGGTCGGCTATTCCACGCGTTGAAGTTTCCCCCTTTTGTGCACAGACACACGAATGGATTGGAACGCGAACTGGAAAAAAATGATCGTTCGGTCGAACGCGCGATCGTTAAGATTTCGAGAAGGCTCGAAAAACCACGGCGGCGACGACGGCGGCGGAGGCGAACGAAGAAAGTTCGTTGGTATCCCTGACGCACCGCTTGCCCGATCGGCTCGCGATGTGAGAATCGAAATAAATCGCCGGCGGCGTTGACGACGACGAGGTGAACGTGCCCGGTGATGTTCGCGATGAGCGCGCGTCGCTCATAGTCAGAACGAGGAAGATGTCATCTCGTCGTGGCTCGACGGAACGCGCGAAACACGGTGCACTACTGCGCGACACTACCGCGACGCGGCACACGGCTCGACTGACACGAGAAACCCACCAGAGGGAGCCCCCACTCACAGTCTACTCTTCGCAACTCGCGACTACTCTACCCCCACTCCGCCGCCGGCACTGCCGGCGAGAGCAGGCGAAAGTCTCGTTTTCTCCCCACCTGCAAGATTTCTTGATCCCCCCACCGTTCCGCGAATGCAACGTGCAATTTTAGCCGGCGAGAGAGAGCGCCGGCGAACTACGTCAGGATGCAACAGCCGCTAGGGTGGATCGGTCTCGGTCTCATTTTGCGACACCGGGTGCGGAATCCTTATTTCTGATGAGGAGGATCCCGAGGATCGGTTGTTCGCACGAATCTTCTGACGAAAATTTGAGAATTTCTGAATTTCCAAGGAAACTTCGGGGACTCTTCTCTTAAACCCCGAATGAGAACTCTCTCCGCTCTCCGGCTTCTAAAGATTCTATCTCACTGTTCCGGGATTCTCTTCTAAGCTCTTTAGACGATTTATAAATCCGCGTCAGAGATTTCAAGATAGAATTTTATTTATTGTTTTATATTCTATCTATGTAATTAATTGTATTTAAATTTACGGCATGATTATATGTGTATTCTGAGATTTTAATTAGTTTCATGTTTTATGGAATTATAAATAGAATTCTGTGATAAATTTTGCTAAATTATAAATTGTTTAAAATAGATTTATGTTTAGGATTATTGTTGTCCCTCAAGATTTCAGGAAAATACTTTATTTATATTTATAACGATAAAAAATGTTTTCTAATACTATCATTTTAGTGAATGTTTCATAATACTGTTTTTAAATTTTTCTAGTATTTTAATAATATTTATTTTAATGTAAAATTCCTTTTGTTATATAATTGCGTCGCACAATTATATTAACGTTAGTTACGTTCTACAGAAAAAGTTACTTTGTTGTAAGATTTTTTAGTATTAATTTATTTAAATCCAATGAGAAACTAACGACAAGAACAATCATAAAAATTTAATTTGCAATAATTACAAAATTGCTTTTTCTGCTAAACGTAGTCATTTCCATTATGAAATGTATTAATGATTAAATATATTGCTCCAAAATTTGATTAAAACTCTGAAAACTGCTTTTAAATTTTTCCAGTATTTTAGTAATATTTAGTTTAAAATTTCTTTTATTACATAATTATGTTACACAATTATATTAACGTTCTGCAAAAAAAGCCGCTTTGTTGTAAGATTCTTTAATAACTAGTTTATTTAGATTCAGTAAGAAACTAAAGACAAAATTAATCATATTAAAGAACTTTACACTTGCAAAACTGCTTTTTCTATTGAACGCAGCCGTTTCTATTATAAAATGTATTGATGGTTTAAAAAATGAGATCATTGCTTTAAAATTTGATTAAAATTCTGAGTATCATATTATATTAAATAAATTTCGACTTGGACTTTTGTACGAAAGGATCAAATTAAAGAATAGATATAGATAGCGATTTTAATATAGACAGATAGATTTTAATCCGCTTATCGCTATCGATTTCCTTATTAAAATGGCAACGGTTTCTTGATTTCACATGAAAGACATGGAAGAGAGAAGCGGAAAAAGTATATATTCTTTCTCTATAAGCCCGTTCCACCGCGTTGCGTGATCGTTCAGAAAACACTGTGGTCACTGAACGAGAGTTAGTATCGATGATTATCTGCGACAATCGTAATCAATTTCTTTGTCAGAACGGCGACATTTATAAATGAACGCCTAACGGCAATGGTACAAGGCCTGTGACCCACGAGGCCAATAATCTGCACTGCTGCCAGTCAAACGGCCAGGCACGTTCAGCTCTCTATGTGCTATTATATCACGCTCGAATGAAACTCGACTGCACTGAATGCGATAGGAACACTATAGGATAGGCAATAGTTCGAGGGTCACGTGGATGACCACTTCTTCCCTTTTTCCAGGCAAAAATCGAATATTCCTCAAAGAAGAATTTTCCGTGAAAATAACGAATAAGACAACAAAGACACAATCATATATTAACAGTAAAAATACGAAACATTATTATTTATTAATAAAATTATTATAGATGATCATTTCTTAATGATAATTTCTTAAAAGTAAGAAGAGAAGCAACTTAAAAAAATATTTACATGAAATTTATCGGGTTTAAGTAACGTAAAATAAATTTGAGTATTTTATTTGGATGAAATTTCAGTATACTTTTTCACAATAAACAATAAAATTTTATTCAATATTTACACGGCATTTTTTAATTTATAATAAAAAGTAATAAAAATGAAAACAGTAGAAACTAAAAATAATTGATAATAGTTTTATTACTTGTGGGCTACTAGTCATTTTATTTATAAAAATAAATGATACAACTCAAAATTTTATATATATGTCGCTCTTGTATAAAGTATATATAAAGTATTGTGGGCTATCTGGAACTGCCGAGTATCTTTCCTGGGAACATGTGTTCGAGCCCGATCGATTTCTGTCAAAAAATCTCGGGGCCTGCTCCCCCTTCGCGAAAGGGCGCAGAACAATAACCAATAACGTGCGATCATGAGATTCACGAGACCGTAGAGGGGGAGGGGCCAATCGCCGATTACGGAAAAATCCATCAATTTCCGAGTTCGGGAATTTTCCATTTCGCGTCCCTCCTTATTATGTTATCATATTTGGGCATGCGGATCACGAATGCTCGAGATCGAA